CCGAACCTCAGAGAGAGGGCTAAGAACCAGAATCCAAGCACTGCCTCAAAAATGAGTCTGGCAAACAGAAAGTGAGATGACACACCAAGTGTTCATGGTGCAAGCCCTCCAACACAAAATTCAATATCCGCCTCTGAAAGCCAGGGAGGTAAACAGACACAGACGCGTGGCTAGTGGACGTGCCCTGCAGGAAGCACTAAGAGGTCCTTCAGAGCAAAATGGAACAGGTCAGAAGCCGAGATCTGCATTCCAAAGGGCGCAAGGGCACTGCAGAGGGGACAAGGGATCAATGAAACACTAACTGAGCTACAGGATGACTGTAGCAACAGGAGCAATATGCAGGGGACTGCAGCACACAGGTGAGTGACACGGGTGATGGGGCCACTGCAGGGGGAGACTGGGACCATGGTGCTGTAAGAGACCACGGTGCTCTCCAATGGGGACAGCATCTTGTCACCTGAACAGACAGGCCAGCACGCTGATAAACTGCTGATGGAAACGTGACGTGGCAGAGTTTACTCCACAGTCAACGTCAACTTGTCACACAACCCTGCAAGTCAACATCAATAAACTCAAGTGCCCACACAGTGACTGGCACAGGAATGTTAACAGCAGCACCATTCACAGCCGCCGAACAGTAGAAAAAATCCAAAATCCTAGAACAGCCTTCTAACTCATGATCCTCCTGCCTCAGCCTCCCCAATGCTAGGGAAATCACAGACTTTATAAATAGGGAGGGGAGCTCTGACATCACGTGTGCTCTGTGGTTTGCTAACTTTATTATGCACCCAATCAAGTGAAGAACCTGTAAAATTCAGGTGCTGGCCCCACCCCCAAAGCATCTGGCTCAGAAAGACTGGCATGTAGCCTAAGAACCTGCATTTCTAACATGCACACTCATTCACACACTGGCTTCACCTTGCACTATGGTCTTCACAGGGCTACACACTGGAGCCACCAGGGAAGCTTTAGAAAACTTAGATTCCCAGGATGCACGTGGATGAATCAGGTCGGGATCTCTGGGAATGGAATGAGGTGTTCCTTATGTTTAAAAAACTGGTCTAAGCCCAACTCACACACCACACTCAGCCCTCCTGCCAACCCCGCAAGGCATGACTGGTTTAACAAAAGAGAAAGCAGATTTTAAATGGCCCACGAGTACCAGGTCATCACCAACAAAAGATTCACTCTTTCTCCCTGCGACTGTAGCTGTGCCATTAATTTTCCTGTGCATCCAACCGTTTCTCTACTTTGCTAATTTACTTCAACTCGCATAAAACTGCGAGACAGGCAATGCGCTCCTGGATTATCAAGAGCTGCTTCTCAGACCTCTGCTGCCCTTACAGTCATCATATCCGACTCCTAAAATAACCCGCCTTGGATTCCCAGACTTCATTTTAGACCACCGCATAAACTCTGTGATTAATGCTGTGGTTTTAGGGTGTAGGCAAGGGTGTGCATGCCCTGATTAAGAGGTTCAGTGGATCTGCATTTCTGTTCGCACCAGGACTCTACCCAAACCCCACCTGCAGGTTCCCTGTGTCAGCAGCCACCTGAAGGACACACATCTTGGTGTCTATGCAGAGCTCAAACATCTGCTCAATGCCTGCAAATACCTGTCAGCTGGCATGGTGGCTCACAGGACAGAGAGGATGGGTGGGAGGAAACAAGACAACATCACTTCTGCGACAGAGGCACTGCTGGGTGTCCGAGAAAGCTGATAAACCCAGGAGGCTTAATGCAGCAGGCTTAATCCGCAATCCCAGGAACTGGCTCTGAGTCTGGGTAAAAATCCAAGAAAATCTCCCTGAAGGTCACCATACTCACAGAAAGCATAAAATCTGAATCTTGACCCTGGAGGGCAGGCGTTGCATTGTCTGGCTTGCAGGGATGAACTGGAGAAGAAAAAAATCTACCCATGTTTGGAAAAGGGTGGGCTTCATGTCCTAAGGTATAGTAAAAATGAAAAATCAAAGCAGAAGGTGGAGACCAGGCTTTGCCAGTATGTTTGGCTCAGCTGACAGCAGTAAGGCAGTGTTTCTGGACGGACCCACAAGCCAGCAGAGCCTCTGTGCACCAGGACGACAGTCCTCTGGCTCCAGGGCCAGGAGGACAACTCCAGCCTGGGGCTCTTTGTCAAGAAAATGATTCGTACAACCTCTTGCTAAATTTGAAATTCTGTTTAATGCAACAAGAAAAGGTTTTCCAGCAGTAACCAAAGAGAAATAAATGGCTTAGCATGCAAAAGTGTGGGGCACATGTCTGAAATCGCAGGCTGTGTCAGTTAGGAGGTGACTGGATTATGGGGCTCAGAGCTGACTTGCTGTTAGGTGGGGTCTGGTGGCAGGGGGCAGTTGCTGTGGGCATGGCATGGCAGGGTCCCGCCCCTCCCTTCCTATATGCCCAGTCTGTCAGGCGGCCCTTCCTGGAGCCAGCGAAGGATAGACTAAAATGTGGGCAGTGGTCAACCTCTCCTCTGAAGCTGTGAGTGTCAGGTACTGCATCCCAGCAACGAGGAAGTGACTCAGACAAGGTATGACTGCAAAGGCCCACTATGTCCCCTTCAGCTCAGCTGGACAATGACCCCAAGCTGTGGCAGCCCAGGACAGGGAAACCTGAGAGCCTCAACTCCTAGCTGCAGCTGGGCCCCACACTGGCCATGTACAGGTGCATCTGGGGCAGCAGTGTCTGCTTCCCACAGGGGACACAAGTCTGTCCAGGAGCCAGGCTGTCTGGCTCACACTTCCCTGGGACACCTGCAGCCCTGCCCTGGCTTCGGTGTCAGGCCAGCTAATTCTTCCTGGTCGCCTCCCCAGCCTGTCCCTGCTTCTGCTCAGGGTCCACTGTCTTAGGCGGCTTCGAAGCATGGCTGTTTCGGTTTCTTCTTTTTGGTGCAACAGGCATGCACAGGGCAGCATCAGAAAGTGCTCTCTAAAGGTCACGAGAACAGTCTCCTTCACTGCAACTATAGGGACAAAGGTCCAACCAACAGGAACGGGCCCATCCTGAATCACACCCCACTCCTTAAATCAGGACACTCGTGGGGACACGCTTGCCCTCCACTCTTTCCAGAGACAGACAAGCTTGTGAGCCCGGAGACCTGCAAGCGTCTTCTGCTGATGCCCAGTAACAATGGACACCCCACCCCACCCCTCCCCGACAGTCCACAAAAGCCTCATTTTCATAGTGTCTGCTCAGTACCAGCCACCAGCTTTATGGCCTGATGGAGCAATGTGCTGAGCACCAAAGGCCACACTGCGTCACGCCGAGAGGGCCTTGGGGAAAGGTCTGGACAATACTTAGGGCAAAGGACTCCTCAGTTCACGTGACCACCTGTAATGAAGCTCATGCGGCAAATCTGCAAAATTTCCATCTGGATGGAATCTGTGAGACCCTGCACAGGGCACCCCAGCACCATGATGGCCCAGGACCTCTCTTACAGACGTCCCCAGACAACAGCTGCAGGTTCCTCCTGGAAGTCTAGGGAAACGGGCTGTGGGGAAGGAAACATCGTGGCAGGCAGAACTGGCTAAAAGGACTAAAGGCACCATCTCCCTGGTCTTTCACACTGTCACTGGAACCCAGTGCTTCGGTTAACACAGAACAAACTGCACTGATCTCGGGCCGGCCTGAACACAGTCCTCTCTGCTTGGAAGACAAGGCAGAGACACTGAACCGATGCACCTCTGTTCAAAACCAGCTTTTATTTTAGGTACTTCTACATACTGAAAAGGAACTGCCCACAACTCGGAAGACCTGAGAGCTACAGGAAGCAGGTGAGGAGACAGCTCAGGTGACGGGTGACACTGCCCTTCCACAGCTTCCCCTCTACCTCACACAGGCACGGAGCATCCGACTCTACTGAAACCCAAACACACCCGCGGTAATTCGGCTACACGGGCGAAGCGTGACATGTGACCAGTGGAAAATGTCCTCTATCCTTCCCAACACAGCCTCTCTGGATACAGCCCCTTACCGTCCTGTGATGCTGCCTTGTGGGTAGCTGCTGATTTGCATGTTTGTTTCATTTTATTGTCTGGATTTCCAGGGCACGATGTGATGCTTTGATATGTGCATGCTCCACAGACCGTGCAATCAAGGTCACTAGCACACCCGTTACTTACCTTTTCCCAAGTGGTCTGAAAATGTTTAAAATCCACTCTGCAACTTCCAAGAACACAAGTATTAACCCAGTCTTGGTGCCATGTCAGAAATCTCAAAGACCTGTTCCTCCTCCGGACCGAGACTGCTTAGCCCTATACCTCCTCACCTGCTCCGGGCCGGGTCACCGCTGTCCCACACACACCCTCCTCTCTGGGAGTGACACTTTGTCAGCGAGGGAAAGCATCCTTACCTGTCCCTGTGCCCGGCTTCCAGAGGCGACCAAACATGAAAGCCAGTGTTGAAAGTTTAAATATGCACTAGAGTAAAAAGCAAGCTGTCACACGTGCCCCTGGAAAACCTCCGCCTTGTTTCATTGTCCCTGCCATGTTCTGAGGCAGCCCTGGAGCGCTCTTTCTGAAGTGTCTGTATCGGCTGTGGTAACAAATTTGGTGCATCTGGCAGCAAAGTGCCTTTCCCATGGGAAGGCAGCTCATAAAAACAAGTCACTGTGTCCTCACCCGCCTTCATCCCTGTACCTGGCACCGTGTGACTTTGGCTCTTCCCCAAAGTCAAAGTGACCAGGAAAGGAAACCGTTTTGATTGATTTAGGGTGTCGAAGCAGCCAGGACAGACGCTCAGGAAAGGGGATCCAGAACTCTCCAGAAAGTGACAGGTCTGCCTTGGAAGCCAGGGGGAGGATTTGGGGGGCTCACGGCAATGAGTGTTTTACTGCATGGTTAATCTTTTTAATCCAACACTCACTGTGCTTTCTGATCCCAGCCCTACGTCACTCAACACAGCACCCTGCAGATTCAGCCATGTCATGAAGGATGGAAATGCCCGCAGCACTTGGGGAACACAGCTCACCCTGGACCAGGGTACACAGGGCCGCACACCTGTCCTTGCGAGTCCCCACTCACCCGGGGGGCTCCCATGTCCTGCTGCAGCTGTGGCAATCGCGAAGGCGGAGGCCGGAGAAACAGAGCAGTGGGTGCTGTCTGCTGTCTGTCCTGGTGGTGCAGAAAAAAGGGAAGCGAAGGTGAGCTGAGGGACACAGTTTTATAATAGACGTTCTCATGGTTTATTCAGTAGTGGGTGAAGGGCTGGGCTAGGGTCTTGTGCCATTCCTGCTAAGAGGCAAATAAAACTATGCACCAACACTAGGTGTGGAACCAAGATAGACGGAAACACGCAGCCATCCAAAAATCTGCACAGGCTCCCTTTTGGGGTGATGAGAACGTTCTAGACTGAGTGGTCACGACTGTCCGACCTGTGAATATCCTCTCCAGGGCTGAATTTGATAGCCTGTGAATTATACTTCAAGATAAAAGGTTTATAAGAAAATTCTTGCTCGAGTCATGATGGGATTTCCTCTCAGAGCCCCCTCAGAAGGAGGGCTGGGTGGGGACAGCCCTTGTGAGATTACAGGTGGACTTAGAGGCCAGGTGGCCCTGCCACCTCTCAGACCACGACATCCCCAAAGGCCAGTGGCCACCTCGCTGCTCCTCCTGGATGGGCTTCAGTACACAGTGAGAGCTACGACTCTGCCCACAGGATTTTCTTTAGTTGCTCTGCAAGTCGTACAATGATGCTTTCAATTCACCAGCAAGCAAGTGGGGGAAGAGCTGCTCGTGGTGCCTGGCCCTAAAGCAGGTCAGAAGCAGACGACAAGCAGGGCAGAAAATGTGACAGGGTTTCCCAGGGGGTTCCACTACGTTATCACTGATTTCAGCCTCTTTTCTATGTTCCTAGGACGTCGTCCTATCAGGAAAGAAAACCAGGCTGGTAATTTCCAAACAATCTTCCAAGAATTAAGAAAGTTTGTATCTGAATACGGTTGTTATGGCTTATATCTAGATGCCTCCCCAGCGCCTCATGTACTCACAGGAGGGGCTCTGGGAGTGACCAGGTCCTGGGTATGTGACCCTGGATTAGCACACTGACTGTTTTACAGCTGGGTGTGACTCGGGAGGCGGGGCCTGGTGGAGTAGCTGGGCGGTGGGGCGCCCTCCTCCTCCCTTGATCTCTCTCTGTTTCCTGTTGCCATCCCCACCTTCAGCAACCCTGCCCTGCCATGGCCCTCTGTCATGGCACCCCACCTTGGAACCAGCCAACCTAGACAGAAACCTCTACAACCTACAGTCAAAATGAACATTTCCTCCTTTAACCTGTAGGGTGTCAGGCACTGTGTTCCAGCAACGAGAAAATAACCCACATGATAGTGAATGGCATCTGGCTCCTTCTCACTTTTGTAAAGTTTTATTTCCCTGGGCTGTAACCCCCAAGTCTTTGGGGCATCCACTTAAGCGGGTCTCCCCTATATGACCATGGTCACAGAAACCACCAGGCCTGCCCCGACCCAAGACGCTAAGAACAAACAGCACAGAGGTTTAGTGACTGCTGAAGCAGCATCATGACCAGCCAGGGTGGTCAAGTTTGTCACTCTGCATCCCAGAACCTCTCCAACAGCAGCAGGCCCACAACAGGTGACAGCCCTGAGGTCTCCTGTCCAACAGGACCAACCTGACCGCAGCCCAACCCAAGCCTTGGTGTTGCGCTCAGAAACCAGGATGATAACAACAGCTTCTGCCGAGTGGCCAAGGCCACAGATGGATGACCCTGGGAAGCCACTTTATGTGCTGCCTCAATGCCCTGCATGGAGCTTGCACCTGAGATCCTGAGAACAAATCACACCTTTCCATTTTGCCCAGGTTATCGGGGGGGGGGGGTGTCTGTTCATGATTGTATAATTTTCTCTTCTGATCAAAATAACTGGCTTGAGAAGAGTTTCAGGACAACAGTTCCTTGGATATTCCTATCTGAGGGACAGGTAGTGTGCATAAAGACTTCTGCCTCTAGTCTGATTGTTTTCCACCGATCACAGGACATTTGTTCTGTTCCTGAATGAATATTTCACAATTTCCATGATGATACCTGTGAGAAAATATACCTTTCCATGATGGGGCCCCATACAACTGGACCTCAGTTTAGGTATTTCAGACAAAAGCTCCCCAATGGTGGAGCACCCTTGAGCCCATTGCTGAGAATACCCCAAGCTCTTGGTAAGGAATTAGGGTCCCTTGCTGTCCCCCACTCTGTGCCATGCCTCTCAGTTTACCTCTTGCTGCACGAAATGGGACACAAGGGTGGGACCTGAACAGACCCGCAGGGCCACCCCCACCCCACTCGCCTTTCATGCCCAGGTCCTTCTGGGCATCACTGCTTCCCATTCATTCTGCCCCCAACACTACCAGGTTTTGGGGTGAGGCGGACGTCAGATCCCACCCTGCACAGCTCTGCCCAGGGCTCCGGCCCAGTGCTCACCTCCGGGCTGTCGATAGCGGAGGTGCCGGGGCGTCGTGGAGGGGGACCTGCACGGGGACAGCTCCATGGCATCCGCTACCGCTGGGGCACTTTCCACGGCTGCTCGCTCTGCTGGCGTAGGCTCCGGGGCAGCTGCTGGAAAACAGCAAGGTTTTCAGCCAGGCCAGGCTGGCACATGGGGACGAGAAAATGCCTTAAAGATGACAGTGCTTCCGGTGGCCTCTACTTTTAAAGGCTTTCACGGGAAACCAAGTCCTTCCTCCCAGCCACTTGCTAAAGACAGGGACCTTCTCAAGCCAGGACCCTCTGACCCACTGACCTCAGCTGCCCTTGGCTGCCCTTGGCCAGCCCCTAACTGGTAAAAACCAGGAAGCTCGAGGAGTCTGTGCCATCCTGCCCGGGCTGGGTGTGGCTAGGGACACCAACACTGTGGGAAATCAAAGTCACAGTTCAGCCAGACTCTCGCACTGACCTCCTCCCAGACCCCCAGGGTCCCTGGGAGCTGGCGCAGGAAACGGGTGAAAACCTCCCTTCTACGTGAACCACACAAGGAACTTGGGACGATCCAAGCCTCCACACTGCAGGGACATGGCAAGAAAGACAGACCCCCTTCCCCGGGCCACAGGGCCAGGCTGCCACTGCCCTCCCTGCCCTGCCACCTGGCTGTTGACCGGGTACAACTGTGACCTCATGACTGCTCGACCAGGGAAGAGAATCACACCGAACAGACACACGACCAGCAAGTCTGCATTCACCTCCTCCTCCTCTGTTTCCTTAATTCCACAGATTGGGGCTGAAAGTCAGTCCACTCCCAGGACAGGACCCCGGCCACCCCGGTGCTTCTCTTTTAATGCCACTTGAGATTTCACTTGACACACGTGACAGAATCCCTAATGACTTCCCAGAGAGCTGTTTTTACTCTTGTACGAGATGTACTCTTTAGAAACAGGGCCGCAATTTTCATCCTTTCAAAGGGGCCGGGGACAGGAAATGGTTGGACTCTTTCCTTGAATGTCATAATTACAGTTAAGCTGGCAGGGCTGCAAGATGCAGATAAAAACATCGGTGCTCAGCTGTCAGTTTTATTATGATCCAAATAACTCGCTCAGCAGCAGCAGCAGCACGGGCAGCATCTGCTGTGGAGGAGCGGGTGGAATAGCAAACATGGGGCTGCAGGGCGAGGCAAAGGAGGGCTCATGCGGTCAGCAGTACTCAGAGCCCCAAAAGAGCCCGGGAAAGCACTTGATTGGACCCCAATATCCTGGAGAAGACCAAAGGACTGCACTGTGGGCTCCAGGAGCCAGAGGAAGAGAGCCTGGGCTACGGGTAGGGGTGGTGTGGTCTGGGGTGCTGCCTGGGCGACAGGCTCCCCCGCCCACCTGCCAGGGTCTGACTTCCCATGGAGAAGTCATTGCAGGGTGGCTTCTGTGTCAGGCTGCTATTGGGGTCAGAGGAGCACTTGGGGTGGAAGGAGGAAGCTGGGGCCTTCAGGAGATGAACAGATGAAGAAACTGGCAATTACACACTGTGGAACACTACTCAGCCATAAAGAAGGACAGGCTGGAGCCCTCTGTAGGGAAGCGGATGCACCTTGAGACCAAAATAACACACAGTTTAAATGTCATGTGCTTCCTCTTATATGAGAAAGCCAAAGTATGAATAGAGAGAAATTAAAAGGCAGATCACAGGCCACAGGAAGATGGATGCTTTGCAGAAGGGAAGGAGATGGAGAGATGAAGGGAGAAGGGCACAGACACCAACAGAGTGAAACTGAGGTCTGTGGTGCACCAGCTCCCCATGGGGACATGATCACCATGAACTGTGAATGTGGGTTAACAGGAATTTAATTCTTTGTTAAAGAAGGAGGTAGGCTGTGCCTGGCACCGGGATGCTGTGCGGGCCCAGGGCAGCTGGGGAACTAGGCTGGGAGGAGATGAAACTGCATTACTTCTTTCCCTAAAGTGTTTGCTGCCTTGCCCATTTTGAAGGCTTTTCCCATTTCTCTCCTTTCCCTTCACACCCTCTGAAGTTCTTTTGCTAGGAAATAGCTCGAGGCCAGCATTACAGAACGGCAATGAAACTGGACCGGGGTCAGTAATAGCTTTTAAAAACCATGCTCTGAGAGTCTCCAGGTGGGCAGCAGTGAGAGGGACCCCAGGAGCGAAACGAGCATCACCCTGAAAACTGCACCTCAAGGGCAGAGGCAGGAGGGGTGGGAGCCCTGGAACAGGGCCTGTGCCAAGTGTGCGGCTGCCAGCACCATGCCAAGCACATACTCCTTTCTCTCTGCCAAATGGAACTTTCGAGACAAGACAGCAGGGTTAGCAAAGGAGCATTCCTGTTTTGCACAGATTCCACACATTCACACATGCGTGCACCAGCACACACACACGCTCACACACGCGCATGTACACTGATACAAAACCATTCACCCACCACTTCTCTAGGGCTCCTTATGACCACTGCTGCCCATGTTGGAAAGTAGAATAAAAGGAGAAATTAAGCCTGTGATTCCTTTCTTTTACCTACTTAGTGGCCGAGATGGCAGCCTCAAGTCACAGCTTTCTACCCACAGGGTTCCCTGGGGAACGGAAGTCCTCACCAGCCAGTCTACTGCAGCACCGATCGGGACACAGCACTTGCTCACGTGCATCCTTCCCTTCATGCTACACTGAGATGCTCTGAGGACTCCGAGCACCACAGAGGACTCCCCAGATTCACTGCTCAGTCACCGGGCCCTGTCCTCACCTAACTCACCCTTCCCCCATTTCATTTTCAATCGTAAGATACAAATGGCCAGGCTGGGGCACTCAGTGGGTGGGCCACGAACAAGAGGTCACTGTGAAAAAGAGCATTAATGGGGTGCTAGGGTGCAGGTACCCAGGAAGCCCAGAGACCAGAGGAATGGGTCTTTCAGAGCATGGGTTGTCTCTGGGGGTGCCACCAAGTGCCACAGATCCCCCACTATCTCGGACACCCCCAAGGGAGGAGCCTAGCATTAATCCTGGCCTGCAACTGTAAAATGACGTAAGCAACTCTGACCTATGGAGGATTTGTAGAAACTAATGCCTGAAGCAAAAGCCCTAAGTTGTTCTACAACAGATTCACTGAGAGACAGGGGCATGAAACCTTCGACCTTAGCTACTTCTGTGATGCAGGAGCCAACACCTACATTCACAGGCTCCAAGGGTCGGCCACCAGAGGTGTTCACAAAGACGCTGCCCCGCCAGTATCTGTCAGTGCTGTGCCCAAGCTTGATCTCACGATGTGGGTCTCCCCATGCTGTGGTTTGAAGGTAGCCCCACAGTTCACGTGCTGGAAACTTTTTTTTTTTTTTTTTTTGTCTTTTTTTAATTTTTTTTTTTTTTTTTTTTAAGAGGAAAAAGAGAAAAACACAAAACAAACCAAAGCGGTGTAAGGGTACACGCAATACAGAACTACAAAACAAAACAAAACAAAACAAAACAAAAAAACATAACAGTAAGAAATCACCTGCTAGTAGATTACACACTATCTTCTTGAGAATAGTTCCTCAAATCACAGTATCAAAGAACTTTGAGACAGGGTCTCGCTATGCAGTTCAGGCTGGCCTTGAGCTTACTTTGTAATGATCTTCCCACCTCAGCCTCCCGAGTGCTGGGATTACAGGCGTGAGCCACCACGCCCAGCTTTTTTTTTTTTTTTTTTTTTTTTTTTTGGTCTTTTTTTGAGACATCAAAAGGATGGAGGCAACCCAGGAGGGAGGAGTCTCATTACAGAGGATGGGCGGCTCTTCCCTCTCACTCTCCTAGGATCCAGCAGGAAGGGCCTTCCCAGATGTGGGACCTTGACTTTGCATTTTCCAGCTGTGAGAATAAATTTCTGCCCATTATGAATGACCCTGGCTAGAGATTCTGTCTTAGCGGTACAAGACAAATGGGTGCCCTGGATCTAATTCTCACACAGCTTGCTGATCCAGGGAGAAACCTTCTAAGTCCCGGATAGGATCTCAAGGAGGGCTCATAGCATGGCACTGGACCTTCCCTGTCCAGGCTGTGTTTGTGCCTTGAAGACCAGAGCCAGGGCAAGGTGCTGACCTTTTAAAACTGGGACACTAGCACACAGCAGATAGACAGGATGTCTACCATGGAAGCACTGGCTGCTCACCTGGGGACCTCAGGAACTGTCACACATGTTCCAAATGTGACCCAGAGAGACTGGATTGTGCCTTCCTATTTAAAAAAAAAAAAAAAAAAGCACTACTTTTCATACCTCTGGTCTGTAGCCTAAGTAAAAATGCAATTTTTGGTGAATTATATAAAAAAGATCCTCACTTGAAACTCATAAAGATAATCACTATAAAGCAAGAAAACCACTTAAAAGTAACAAGTGCTGGTGAGTGTGCAAAATGGCACAGGCACTGTGCAAAACAATACAGAGGCTCCTCCTGAAATTAAAAGTATGGATGCCTTGTAGTCTCACAGTCTTGCTGGTGGGCGTGCACCTTCTGGCTGCAGCACACACACACATGCATATATAATTTCAATATATACAGAAGTCAAGATCTTGAAGAGACATGTGCACACTCCTGCTCATTGGCTCATTCTGCACAAAAAGTTACATGGTATATCACAGAAGGGAACACTATTCATCCTTTAAAAAGGAGGAAACCTCATCACATGCCACAACACGATGAACTCTGAAGACATCACGCTAAGTGTAATCACCCAGTCAGCAAAGTAAAAATATTGCACGATTCCACTTCTGGCAGGTCCCTAGAGCAGCCAGACTCCTAGAAACAGAAAGCAGGATGGTGGTCACAGAGACTAGAGATCTGCTTCAAGTGTACTTCAGGACAACAGTGTGATCTTAACTTAGACATAATGAAGAAGGGAAGGAGGAGGAGAGAGAAGGGAAACTCTTAAGGAGTCCTGCGGTGTTCAGCTGCAAGACTGTACCAGGGACCACCTGTGGGATGGCCATGGCATCCACATGGTACAAGGACCGTCCCCACACAAGAGGCAGCCACCTCCAGGGCTGTGGGAGACCGCCAAGCTGCAGTCTCCTGAGACATGAAGCCCCTTGCCTCTATCTTTCCCTGACCTCTCCCTCAGCCCTATTCACTGAGATATGCAGAGCTGGCTGTACTGAGTCCATCCAAGAAGCCAACATGATTCAACGCAGCTTGTGAGGAGAACTGCCCCACCCTTACCGCACTGATTGCCAGAATGGGGGCTCAAGCAGGACCCTGTGAGATTCCAAGGCTAAGATACGAGATAACATCACAGCCGAGGACATGGAACTCCAAAATATTTAAACCTTCCTGGCAGTAAAAGTGCCTGCCTGGCATACATCACATTATGCTTGTATTGCTAACTGGAGGCCTTTGTGCCTGGTATAAAATCGCTGTTTCTCCTTGTAGTCAATGCCTGCAAAATTTCTTTCCCCTGAGCACTCTGCTACAACCCATTCCCACCTCCCTGACTGATACCAGTAAAGCCACAAGCTTTTGGCCTCAGGGCCCACAGAGAGCACTGGTCACCCCAGAGCTCCTCAACTCAGGACTTTCCATCTTTGTCTTTCTTTTGCATTCATGTGCCATAATGCTGGGCTGCAGACCTGAACCCTATGTAGGAGTTTCAGTGCAAGACCACCACACACCCTTCACACCCGCATTCCCTCTGCACGGAAGCTGCCTGCTCTTCCCGCCCCTCCCAGCTGCTGCTCTTCCTGAGGCTTCCTGATGTGACTGATCTGCTTCTCAGCTCACAGAGCACCAAGGTCCATGATACTTGGTCCTAAAGCTCGCCTAAGCCAGAGGACAGGAGGATGCAGGCTGCTCAAGGGAATCTCCTACACCTCCTGGACCGGACCCAGAGCCCTGAGCCCAACCCTGGCCAGAATTAGACACTGCCCATCAGCTCCTGCACGGTGACTTCAGTCAAGCTTGTTGTTCAAGGACTTGTCAATCTTCCTCCTGCCTCCTCCTCAGCTGCTAACGTGTCGCCCTGACAGACTTCTTGGTTAATGGGCCACTGTCAGACAGGACAGCTGCTCTGGTTCAAATTCCACTAGGACCTTTGCTTGGGAAGCACTTTTAAATGACTGGAGCAAGGAATCACCTAGAAGCTTCCAGTGAGAAACAAATCGCTCCTCCCTAAAATATGAACCTTTGTCTGAGTTACTGCTCAATTTTTATGTCATCAATAAATACCCTGCCAGACATGGTGGTGCATTCCGGAAGTGCAACACTTGGAGGCTGGGGCCGGAGAATCACAAGGAGTCTGAGGCTGGCCTGGGGTACATAGTGAGTTCATGGCCAGCCTGAACAATACTGAGATCCTGTCTTAAACAAATGGAACCAGTAAATAAATAAATAAATAAATGCACAGTACTGTCTCGGTTCACAAACTTAATTCTCTCCATAATTCTGGTTACAAACCGAACTGGACAAGAACTTGAATCAAACTTCCCCAAACGGTCAGCACTGACCCTCACCACTGAATCTCATCTGGTTCTTGTCCAATTTGGTTTGTGACCAGAATTGTGGAAAGAATTAGGTTTGTGAACCAAGGCACCACTGTATCAAGGATTAAAAAAAACCTCTGCTGACTTGGCTGAGAAACTATTTATGTCCCTCACAGAAAGGCACTCGGTTTCCAAAGCACCAAGGTCCCTGTCACCTGACTCCCATGCCCACCAAGCTGAGGTCAGCTGATCCACCCAGCGCCATAGTCTTTCACTTGACTCATTTGTTCCACAAAAATGTACTTCGGGGCAGGCTCTGGCCAGGTGCTGAGGATGCACAGGGAAACAGGACATCTGGGGCTGCTGACACCTGGAGCTTATACTCCCAGGAAGGCTGTGTGGGCAGAGGGCAGAGTGGTGCAAGGGCCCTGGGGCAGGAAGCTCAAGGAGAATCTTTAGTCCGCAGCCTGAGACACAGAGGTGTGGCTGGAGCAGAGCCAATTAGGGGCGATACCATTGTATCCCTGCTTGTGGACACTACCTTGAACACATAGGCCCAGACTTACCGGAGTGCGGTGGTGGGGACGCAGTGGGGCTGTGTGTGGCGGGAGGGCTGCCAGACAACGCGGTTGCGGTCAGGTCCAGGGGGCCCGCCCTGGAACTCGAAGGTGAGCTGAGAGACAGCTTCCTGGTCCTCACGGGTGAAGCGGTGCTGGATGCTGCTGGCGGCGGCGAGGAGAACTTGCGGCTTAGCCGTGGGGTCCGCCCATCAGTGGGGGGCTCCGCGCGGCCACTCATGCTGCAGGCGAAGAACAGCTCCAGGGACCTGGGGGGAAGCAACAGTGACCTCCGGGCCCAGGGGGCATGTGTGCCAGCGCCCACCCACGCACGGTGCTACCCAGCCCTCACAGCACCGGCACCAGCACCAACGCTGAGCCCCTCACCACCCCCCCCCCGGGGGGGCCAGGCAGTCTTCGCCCCTTGTGGGAGAATCTGCATGAGTCCATGGGGCGCCCCATACTCCTCCCGCCAATCTTGCAACTGCCTAGATACTGGCGGACAGTGAAGAAAGTGGGGAGGGGAGGGGAGGAGGGCGAGGCAGGAAGGAGAGGAAAGCCAGGAGGGGGAGAGGAGAAGGAAGAGGGGGAGGGGGGAGGGAAGGGGGAGGGGGAGGGACAGGGGGAAGGGGACGGGAGGGGTAGGGGGGAGGGGAGGGGCAGGGGGGAGGGGAGGGGCAGGAGGAGAAGCTAAAGGCCTGTTGCCCATACCTGACGGGGATGGAGGTGAAGGGCCGCCGGTAGACGTCGGCCAGCTTGGCCAGCACCACGGCGGCCGTGGTGAAGAGGCGGTAGGTGTGCAGGAAGGTGTTGAGGAAGTCGATGCTCAGGAAGCGCAGGTCGGTCAGGCGCTCCAGCAGGCGCTCCACGCTGGCGCAGCGGATCTGCGGCACCTTGCAGGAGTTCAGGGTCTTGCTGAAGCAGATGTCGGCGTCGTCCTTGTGCAGCCGGGCGTCAGACCTGTGCAGAGCGGCCCGGTGAGCCGGAGCCCCGCACGATGCTGGGACAGCCCGGCCACTAAAACCCCAGGCTTCACCGTGGAGGACGGGTGCTACTAATCATTGCTGGCGTGGGTCCCTGCTCCCTGGTTGTTACCTTTTACTAAGGAAATGAAATAAAAAGCCTCCTTCGGCAGCGGAAAGGCGTTTCTTTTTTTTGGCTTGTTTTGAGACACGGTTTCACTATGTGGCCCACACTGGCCTTGAACTCACTGCAATTCTCCTGCCTCAGCCTCCCTAGTGCTGGGATGACAAGTGTGTGCCAGCAGACACGGTGGGGCCAGCGTTTCTTAGGGTTTGAAAGCAGAATAACAGAAGTGTGCTCAAAAAGTAACAGTGACACCTCCTACACTCAGAGGAGGGACAAATATCACCGCCATACATTAATGTAATCTGATCTATTAATACCGTACCAGTCAGTGTTTTGCCTTCTAGAACTGGCCCTCTGATGTAACAGCTCTGCTGTTTTATTTTATTTTAGCTTATTCACATCAGACCTTACCTCAGTTTATTTCCTTCCTACTGTTTCCTCTGGTTGAGTTTCCACGCCTTTCCTTAGGTCTTGAGTTGGTTTCCTAATTTGTGGATCCAGTTCTTCTGGGCTTATTGACGTACTGACATTTCCTGAATGTAATTTATCCCTACAGTAAGGGTGATGTTATGGCTGCATTATGTTTTCAATAATGTGCACCACTAAAAATGTCTCCTTTAAGACAAGGAAACAAACCAGCCCCTTGATGTAAGGTGCTGTGCTAAGGAGGTCACCCTTCCACCTGGCACCAGCCGGCTCTTCTGAGAACCTCCGGGCCAGGGCCCAGGCAGCCTTGGCTTCCGCAAGAGGTCCGTTCCTGCCCTCCGCAGCTGCACAGCAGGGGCCTGGACTCCACCACTGTCCCCGAGAAGATGCCACGGGGCAAGCGTGAGCTCTCCTACTGAAGCCTTTCAGTGGACCAGGGGCTTGCAATTATATATTTACTTCCTTTTGAAGGAAGGACATCATTGGAAAGGACTCAATAGCTTTCTCCCTTTGCTCTTGGAAACTTCCCAGCTCCAAGTGTGCTCATGGGGGCAGAGGACCTTTGTCTCGCAGCCCCAGAAGGTCATCTTTTTTTTTTTGTCTTTTTCCTTTTTACCGGTACCGAGGATGGAACTCACGAGTGCCTGCTTGCAAGGCAGGCACTTATGCCGCTGAGCTAAATCCCCAGCCCCCAGAAGGTCATCTTATGTGACCAGCCAGGCCTACCAGGGAGCCGAGCCAGGCTGGCCTCTTGGCTTCACATTATTGATCAGAAACTCAAAAGTACATGCATGAGATGGTTACAAACAGTACGGTTCTTTCTGCCCCTCCCTGTGTGAGACTCCGCTAATTCGATTTTTCTGCTTCTCAATTTTCTCATTTATCAAAAGGCCTGAGCAAGTTTAGGAACCCATCAATTCATCCCAAATATGACTAAACAATTGCTCTTCTCCTACTGTTTCCCACCCAGCATCTCTGTTTTCTAAGAAAGCCGAGGCCAGATAGCATCCAAAGAAAAGCTGAGCTCGGATACCACTCGAAGGACATTGTTACCCAGCAAGGGTCACGGCAGTACCTCCACAGTGTGATGCTGGGCGCTGCCTCTTTTAACTGCAGTTTAATTCGTTTATTGAAAGCACTAAGAGAAAGCAACTGGGTTGCAGCCACCAGTAAATTAAGTTGTCCTTCAAAATTATGATCACATTTTCATTCTGAGAAAAGAAATTAAATATTACGAAATGACTTAATTTTCTTTTATTACACCGAGCAGGATCTTGCTTTATTTCCTAAGGGACGCTCAGAAAGACAGACTGTGTTACTTAAGCCTCTTGTGATCACAGGAGACAATGCAGAGCTGGAAGCCAGATCCGCTGTGACATCTGGGCAGTTTGGAAAGGAGGGGCTTTGATACCGAGGCACTCCCAAGACGGGTGGTTACAGCAGAATGACTTTGTTTTGTGTCACCAAAAAAGATGAGTTTCTTTTTCTCCCCATGGCACACAGCCAGGGGAGAGATGTAGGCAAAGCAGAAACGCAGAGTCCAGGGTAGGACAGAGGTAGCAAAACCACTCTCTCCTCCACTGGAGGGGTGACCAGGCCGGGGAGGCTGGGGAAACCAGAAGGAAGGTGCAGACTTGGAGTGTGGACAGCAATCCTCCTGGCCCAGGACACGGGTCCCGCCGTGCTCTTTAGTGCTGTATAATTTTTAAAGTCGGCAAAATGTATACAAAGTGGGTGGATAAACAGCCGTCCCAGGGCCTTACAACACCAGCACAAGTCTGTGTCACACACTGTCATCCCGAGCCAGCTGGACTGTGTGGCTGGCTAAGCCATGAAACTCAGGCAGGTCATTCTGAGCGGGATTAACAGGAGACCCCACAGTGGGAAATGACAGGATAATCCCAACCCGATGATGTGAACTCAGGAATCAGGTCGTGACTTGGACCTCCTGACCTAGTATCCCATACTTGTTCTTAAGCTCAGTATCATACATTCTAAAGTACTCTGTCTCTTACAGACACTAAATTAAACACTGAAGTCAAAGGAATCTTTGTCCTAAAGTGTAAAAATGGTCCTCTCAAAGTATATTAAAATTTGACTCAATTTAAAATACTAACAATTCTACTCATCACAATTTTCCACTCCAATGACGGCAACAGGGTTGTGTCTGTGCCTTTGTCGGATACAATATCAGTGACAATCCTACCACTGACACTGCTGGGATCACGTCCACCTTGCCCGAGAGGAGAGCCACCTTAGTCTAGAGCTCAGTGTCTTATTGTCTCAGCACAAATGGTTCGGACCTCAGCTGACCCACAGAAGAAGGCATAAAAGGCAAACACACTTGTTTCCAATAGCTTCAAAAGATCTAACAAAATTGCTTTCAAAAATACATCTCACTCCTGGAATTAAGAATGCAGATAACCAAGAACATGAAAGTAAGGAACGATCTGGTCCATTTCAGAACTCTTCCAGAACACCTGCTCCATTTAAACACAAAAATAGTGTCTGGAGACGACCGCACAAATGCAGAGAGCTTCACATGCACTGTTAGTTCTGGTTTTTGCCTGGGTGTCCCCCCAAGCCTGTGCAGAGCTTATGGGAGGTGGGGTGGGTCAGAGGGGTGCTACAGCTGGCTTGGTGTCGGGAGGTGGGGCCTGGTTGGAGGCGGTCACTGGGGGTGTAGCCTTCTCCCCAGCTCCTCCTCTCTCTGCTCCCTCTCCACCGTGGTTGGGAGCTCTCTTCCCCCCAGGCCCTTCCACCTTGCCTTGTGCCTTGCAGCCAGTCAACTATGGATAAGATCACGGGCCAAAATAAACTGCTCCTCTAAGGTGTGGGTGTTGGTACTGCATCCTGGGGATGAGAAAGTGACTGAGACAGTCGGGGATGGAAATGGAACTTGTCCTTTTAAACTCTAGAGACCCTAGTGGTTCCCTTGAGTTGCAGGATTCACTCCATTGAGATACAGATCGGGCAGAATGGAAGGCCTGCAGATGGCCCCTGGGCCAAATCAGAGGCCTGCAGTGGGCAGAAGATTCCACGGTGAAGTTAGCTGGTTGCCGTTAGCTGGGCCGGACATGTCTCTACTGCCACCCCTGAGTGACAGGTTCACACTGCACAGAAGTCAGCCACACCACTACCCACCTCTGACTGTGGACACATCCAGCTGTTACACGTCAGGGTTCCACACTGAACATCTTGCTAGGGTTGGGTCAGGAGTGAAACCATATGCCACAGGGGGAAAACGAGTTTTCCCAGAGTGCCAGTGAACACCCTGTGAATCTGAAAACCCATTTGGACAGCCCATGATTTGTGATGGCATGACATGAGTGATCACATGACTTGCAAGAAACATTCCTAGTGGGAAGTACCACTGCCCTGCAGCAATCTTTACTCAAGGTCCCCACCTCTGTCGATGTGACCCTGGGGAACACAGCGGAAGGACCGCTATACTTACTTGATCATATGTGGCACCGTAACTTTGGAGTTCTCCTCAAAGACGACAGTCATCAAGCCATTGCAACGGATATTGTCCACACACTGCAAGGTGAAACAGAGGCCATTAAAACCCACAGGGAATCCGGGCTGATCACAGATTCTCAGAAATGTTCCCAGATGAACCCGCTTCCTTCCTCACCTGCGTGTGTTACACACACATAGACACATGGACAGACCCAATATCCGTGCACCAAACTGCACTGCAACCACACTTGTGGCAAGCATCTGGAGACACACCAGGGCCTCGCTTTCCCCAAATGTCCTTTCCAAACCTCTGAGGGTTGTGTCACACGGTCACCATGCTCTGGCGGTGCCAACACCACAGGGAGCCTCCCACCTGTGACCAGCCTACTACATATCTGCTGCCACCAGGTGCCAGATGAAGGACGTGACCTAGCAATAGCCCCCTCTGCAGATGAGGTTCATCTCGTTGCAAGAGCAATCAACTTCTGCCAATCTATGCCCACATTTCACCACTCAGTCTAGCAGTTTCTATTGGCACCGTGTCGGGCTGGTGAGGGGGCAGTGTGTGATTTCGCTTGTTGCTGGTCCCTCTCTTTCCCTCTCTCTCTTCCAAGGAGAGAACTCCAGAACATTTGCTAATCTCCTCTTTTCTGTATTTATCTCTGTCTTATCAATTTAAAATCTTCCTGTGATTACTCTGGGCTACAGAAGAATTCATCTTGAATTACAAATATTCCCTTTGAACAAACCCAGGTCAACAATTTTTCAGATTTGAAATCGCTTTTAGAGTCACCAGGACACCATTCAGTGCGTGTGACTGACATGGAATAGTGCCAAGAGGCGGCCACAAGGTGACCTTCCACAGGGCTGACCTGGGGCCTGCACTGCACCCCAATATCCAGCGGAGAGGGGGAAGGCTGTCGGAAGCCAGGGCGCGGAAGCCCGGACCTCTCAGCCTACACCACTCCGCCCTTTCCACCTCTGTCTCTCCTTCAGGTTTATTTCCTCACAAATTATGCCATTATCTCAAGGAGCCTAAGGAAATGCAGCGTCTTACAGTTTGGTCCCTTTCCTGGGGAGAACTCTGAGCCATGTTTTTTTGTAGATGGCTGTGGTCGCCTCGCCACAGGTTGGGTTATACGTAAATTTATACAGCATCTCACCCCCCCAAGGAGGCCATGAAATACCTGCAAGACAAAGGTGAGTGCGTGAGAAGGCCAGAGAGGAGCCAACAAAGAAGGCAAAGCGTAAGACGAAGCCAGCACACACTCCAGGCTGAACATACTTGCTAGAAGCAGTGGAGAGAAATTTCTACCACTGCTCCTCAGGCAGAGGCCTAGTGTCTAGAATACATAAAGAACTCACAATAATTAGAACCCCTAAGTAAAAGACCCTCTCTAAATGCGGGCTACTGGAACAAATGAGCATTTCTCAGAAGAACTATAAATGGTCAATAAACACATGAAGAAACTGCTCTCCACACTGCTGGCCACTGGAGAAATGCAAATTAAAACAATGCCAGGATTCTACCTCACTCCAGAGAGAATGGCTGTCATCCAGAAAACAATAACAAGGATGCAGTGAGGCTGAGGGGAAAGGAAACCTTGCTGCAGAGCTGTTGTGAGTGTAATCTACGACAGCCACTTGGACACAGGTGTGGAAAACGCTCAAAACGCTGACGTCAGAAACGTCACCCCACCCAGCTGGTCCTCTTCTAGTCACCTTCCTGAAAGAGTTCAACACGCCATACTACAGTGATCCATGCACGCCAATGTCTACAGCAGCACAATCCACAACAGCTAAATCTTGGGAGCCGCCTGCATTTCTACCACCAGACAAGTGGATAAAGGACATGTGGTTTTCTACACACGGTAGAACACTAGTGTGCTGTAAAGAAGGATAACTCGAGCATGTGGAAGGAAATGGAGTCACCTTAAGATCATGATGTTTAGTGAAATAAATTAGACACACGAGTTGAAATATGAATAAAAGATGGATGGATGTGGAGGGGATTAAAAGGGACTTGAGACATATCGTGTCCAAGCACCAATTCCCCACAGGGAATATAACTGTTAGCACTGCAAACATGGATGAATAAAAACACAAATGGAAAAGCCTGAGCCAAGCCCCAGGGCAGCCAGCTTCCAGAAGCAGCCAGGACCAGGACCAGGACCAGGACCAGGACCAGGACCAGGACCAGGTATGAAATTCACACCACAGTAGGAGTCCCACTAACCCTAGTCTGAGAGAAGAGAAAAAGATCTCACAGGTCCTCAGACAGAACCACGTCCTCACAGCCTGTCCACAGCAACCCCAAATCCGATAGTCAGACTTGTGGCCTCCGGTGACACCGGATGGGAGCTCAGTTCCAAGTGCACATCCTTGCAGTGACCTCACAGGTGTGCTACAGAGGCCAGCCTGCCTCTGCTGCCTGGCTCAAGCACACAGGGAGCATGAGCTGAGTTGCCTGTTGACGCACGGAAGCCTTGGGCAGCAGGAGCCTGGAGCAGCATCTGCCCTGGGGCTTCTCCTGCCCTCCATTCTGGGTGTCCCTGAAGCCCAGAGTGGGTGCCCCTTCCTGGGCAGCACAGGAAGTAGGAAAGGAAGATGGTGTCTGCAAATGAGTGGTGTCCCTTTATGTCTCTGTCACACTCAAAGTGAGTGGCAGGATGACAGACACCAGCCTTCGAGTGAGGGGATGGCCCAAGGCAGTAGCCGCTGTGCACCGGAAGTGACCGGAGTCGCAGGCTGGGAGCCTGAGAAGCAGCCCGGACAGGGTGCCACAGCCTAGATCTCGGGGACACAGCACGGGGTGAGTCCTGAGTCCACACAAAGCCGCTGCACCTCGGGGTGTGATCAAAGAGTACCCACTCCTCTGAGATCACACCGGGAAGGGAGACAGTACTGCACCCTGGCCAGCACTGCGGGCCCCACCCAGGGACCCCAGAGACCTCTGCGAGCCTGCTCTGCTGCGCCCTGCTCCCAGAGACGGGGAGGAGCACCCTCCCTTCTCCCGTCTTCGGGTTTCTTCTCAGTCCGTGTTTGCAGTACGCGGTGCTTCCATACTTCGGGGAGCTGGAGCAGCCACCTGGCACCCCTTTAGCTTCTCACATCCTGCCTCCCCGCCTCCCTCTGCCTCTCTGTCCCCTTCCCTTCTGCAAGAGCTCTTTCTGTTTTCATCAGTCTTTCAGTTTGCTCTTTACTTACACGTGGGGTTTCTCACATAAGAGAAACTCTGTGACACTTAAAAGTTTATTTGTCTGACATGTCTCTGACCACGAGAGAACTGCAATTGTGACAACATGAGATTCTACACTAGTCCGGAGAGAATGGTGAAGATTGAGAAACCAGGTAAGAAGCGCTAGTGCTGGGCAGGCTGCAGGGGGAAAAGACAGCCTCCCACACTGCCGGTGGGAGTGTAAACCGGTGCAGCCACTGTACAAGTCAGTGTGGAGAAGACTCCAAAAACTAAAGCTAGAAATTCCTTCCCTCCCAGTTAGTCCCCTTCTAGGAATCTTCCGGAATCCCGAATAGGATCACCTATCACATCCATGCACACCTGTGTTTATAGAGCACAGCTCTTGTCAGCTAAATCTTGGAAGCAGCCTACATGTCCCTCAACAGATGAGTGGAAGAAGAAAACATGGTATTCATACAGCATGGAGTACTACTCTGCCATAAAGAAGGACAAACTAGAGTCATGTGAGAATGGCTACACCTTAAGTCCACAATGTTAAGGTCTTGCTTCTTGAAAGAGGGAACCAACAGGAAAGGGCTCTCAAGTCCAGTCTTTCCAGTCCACCTGCCCAGTCAATACGACCTGCTGCCATGGCAACCACAGGCACCCGGAGGCCTGCTTCAAGTGCCAGGGCCAGAGAGAAGCCTGCTCCATGGGTCCAGAATGGACCTTTGTTTCCTATCTCCTGCAACAAAAGCAGCATCGCCCTCCTCCCCCTCACTTCCGCCTCTGTGCCAGATGAGGGGACGGTGGCTGGGGACCAGGGCTTCGCAGGGAGAAGCAGGAGGGGCTGGGACCCAGCACCATGGCAACGGCTGGGGCAGAGGCTGCGTGACACTGGAGAAATGAGAGAGAAACCCTCCTTGCCGCACTGAATACGAACACACATTAGACGACTTCTTTGGCTCCTAACTTCATTTCTTAAAAACGTGCTCCTAGCAAAGAAAATTGGGAAGAGAAAACAACAGTGTCAGAAAATTAATCATCAAAAGAAGATCCTATTAAGCAACTGAATTTTTAAATAACTCGCTATTCATCCAGGAAACAGGACGGAGGAGGTCTCTGCCTTTTTTCTCACCTATCCCCCTCCATGAGGGCAGTGATTCATGACTTGGAATTTGAGAAGTCAAAAAGGAAATAAATGCAGACTTTCATTTTTCATCTTAATGTTTGTATTTTTAGCTATGAAATTCTTCAAACACGCAGAAGCACGCTGGCTCCTTGGCTCTAAGTGGTAGCGGCCCTGTCCCCACTTGCTGCCGAGCCTCTCTCCTCAGCTGCAGGTCAGGGAAAGCCCCTGCTTCCTCCTTCCCACCGGGTTTCTCCAGCCCAGGAGAACCACTCTCTCCATGCTGATAGTGCCCTTTCAGTCTCCCTGTCCCTATTTTTTATGTTGTTATATGCACTGTGGTTTTGCCCACTGCAGTGTATAATATTACTTGCATTTTTAAAGTTTGCACAGATACTTGTGTTTTCCCACCCCTGCTGCTTTGAGATCATCTGATGGAGCGGCAGAATTCAGTCCCCTTAAATCTGTAGCCTCTATGGTCTAATCACACACCACGGTCCAGCCAGCAGCCACTTTTGTATGTTCCCTTAGGGGATTTCCGTTTTTCTGCTACTAGAGAGATACAGATCCCGTCAACATTCTCCTTGTGAAAAAAATGCCACTTTTCTTTTAATGTAAGCTGTCTTTCTACCCTTTTAGACCTTTTTGCATTTGGTCTTCTGTATTTTACCTCAGTGTCTAAATGGGGTTCTGAGTAGACACAGCGTGCAATGTATTATTTTTGTTGACTATAAAGACTCACATTTTAATCCATTTTGCAAATTCCGACCC